CCCTCCCCGGGCCGAGCGCCTAGGCGCGGGGCTCTCTCCCGCGGGCGCGCGAACACACAAACACCTTCACACGGACATTCACGCGCGGGCGCTCACGCTCACAGACGCACACACAGGTGTGAGGGAGCCGCTGCTGGACGGCGGCGTCCAAGAGGGATGACTATCGGACTCTCGACTTAGGCACCTTCTTCAGCCGCCACTATCCGCCCGCCGCCCGGGGAAGCTCGGGGTGCAGATGGAGGCGGGCTCGCAGGCGTAGGTCCAGACCCGCTCCGGCCGCTTCTCCAGTCTCTCGGACCGCGGCTCCTGGCGCTCTCCGAGGTCCTAACGGAGCAGGAAGGCTCCACCGCAGGCTCCGCCCTCCCGCCGTGGGAGGCAAGCCCCGCCCCTCGCTCGCCCCGCCCCCTCCTGCCCAGGCCGCCCTGAGCTCGTGAAAGGGGCGGAGAGTGCCGGGACATCAAAGGGAGGGAATAGCTACTTCTCCAATCCTAGGCTCAAAAGGGCCAAGTTCCGCGGTTGCGAGGCGCGGAAGAAATTTCGGGATAGGCCTATGGAAAAGCCAATGAAAGGGGGAGGGGAGAAGCTAGAAAAGTGGTGAAGTAATTGATTGACAGCAGAATTGGCCAGTATGCCGGGCGGCCGTGCTTTAGGGGTTGTAATTGGCGCTACCTGTTGAAGGACGCAAGTGTTAATCAATAGAATGCCTAGAAGCGTGCGAACTTGGACTCCTTGAATCGGATGCTTTAGGAAGGGTTTCTCTATGTCTGGCTCTGGACAATACTGTGAACTTGAAAGTGTTTTGCAATTTATCACCTCTACAAGCCTCTTCCCGCTCTTCAAGTGCATCTATTGAGCTTTCCTGGCTGCCCTGCTACTTGCATAATGGCCTAACAGGTCACCTCTGCCAGAGGGAATTGTATTTCAATAGAGTTTGGGGATATACTGTATAGCCTTCCAGAAACTATCGAATTAATTGTTCACCTTGTTCCCTCCAATGCGCAGAATTAGCCCCCTTCTCCCCATTTGCACATGTACGAAGATTTTTTTTTATAAAGAAACATTTCTCTCTCTCAGTAAACCGTGTCAAGAATATATTTTAGGCTTTTTCTATGAGTCACAATAATCACTTTGAAAGATGTACTATTCGGCGCAGGATTTTTTTAAAACAGCATCAGACTAGGAAGATTTGGTTCTGAGCCCTGACTTGCTACTAAATTGGGGAAAATTTGTACCTCTATTTCTTCGTCTGTGAAAATGAAGGGCAGCTCAGGGGGCCACAGATAGATGTAGACTTCAATCTGGCAACACAACAGAACTCATTAGTAAACATCCCAATATTTTTACATTTTGGAAATCTTCTAAGAACACCTTTTCTTTCTTTCTTCCTTCCTTTCTTTCTTCCTTCCTTCCTGCCTTTCTTTCTTTCTTTCTTTCTTTCTTTCTTTCTTTCCCTCTCTCTTTCCTTCTTTTGTGGAGAAAAGAGATGAGAGGGGTGAAAGCAGAGGCCTGAAATAAATGAGTTGCTCAAGGTCACATAGCAAGGAAATGGCAAAGATGGAATACAGCCCAGTTTTTCAGATCCTCAGCTTAATGCTCACCCTGTTCTTTTGAATTTTTCAGCATTTAATATCCTTTTGAGATCTCCCAAAGACCCCCAATACTGTCTGGTAGTCTTTCATTGCCACAACTAAGCAGTAACACTCTTGAAGGCAGAAATAGAAATTTATATTTCTCCTATCTTGTTTAGCAACTGGCACAATGTTTTACATATAATAGGCACTTAAAGGGTTTTGAACAGTGGTTTATTAATAGTTATTAGTGAAAGATTTATGAGATGGCACCCAATTATATCATGTTTGGGAGGGGCAAAAATAAAGATAGAAACAAATGCCATGCCTGATGTTAACTAGATCTCTGTAAGGTTCCAAATTCTATATTGGATTCCTAACAAGATATATCATTGTTTTCTTTCCATTTTTTCTTCTCTTCTTCCTGGCCCATTTCACCTCCAAGCATAGGTGCCTATTAAGGCGAAAGAGTTTGCTTACCTTTAAGGCTAAAGAGTCTGGCTTTTCTTTAAATGGGGGTTGGGAGGGGATTGCTCTAACTCTTTGAGAAGTAGGCATTGTTATCTAAAATAATAGATTTAGATGTCCACCTTACCTTCATCAGAAAGTCTCTGAGCAACTCCTTAACTTTCAACTAAATGAAAACAAGACTATACCAAGTAGTGGTTTGGTCTTTTGATGAGAGTGAAGAAGATATTCTGATTTAGGAAAGTAAGATGTAACTCTTGCAAGAAAACTCCTTAAATCATCCATCACTATCACTATAGTATCTTAGCCAACTAGGCGGTGCTTTTTATTCTAAAAATTAGGGGAGAACCAAGACTTAAAAGGTACACAAAACAGTTTGACAAAGATTCTGCTTGAGGATCCTAAAGGGAATTCACTGTCCTAGTTAAGTTAAAAAGAGGTGACAGAGTAGATATACTTTCACATGGGATAATAAATAGGAATGAAAGAAAAGCCAGGTCGGAATATATAAATGTTTACAAAGAAATATAAAAAGCCTAAAAAATAAAACATGATTAGAATGCTGAGACTGTGAACTTTTGGGGACTATTTTAAATATTTTTATTGTTCTTCCACAACAGCTATCACAGTCCTTATATATAGTAAGTGCCCAGTAAATATTAATTTGAGTAAATGATAGCAAGTAAAAATCTTAACATGATTGCAATCACATAGAGAGAGACAACCCAAGGACAGAGGACATTGTGATGTCCATTCACAAACTATGAGCAAAGGATAAAAATGAGCAAGAGACTGAGTATATTATGTAAACAAGGAGACAGCATAAATATTTTTTTGGTAACCTAAAAATCTTACTAGGTGAGAGAAGCACAGTGAAATATCTATGGAAGAAAATTCTTTTCTTAACAAATTAAAAAGAAGATGTTATTATATAAACCATCTAGTGAAGGGAATAAGACTAGATCATGAATATACCTTATAAATAAAGTAGGCATCTTTAGAATTGGATCAGATAATAATAATAAAGCACTTTGATCATTTTACTGCAAACTAGAATACCTCATGGAGAGGAGTTTCTGATAAGCCATAATGTCTTCTTAAAACAACAAGTATGAAGAACGACGAGAAAGAAAAACAGACTAAGCTTGGTCCTTGGGGGAAAAAAATCATTAAATCATTCAAACAAATCTAATACATTGGAAGGATTTTTAGGATATATGTTTAAAATATATTACAACTCATTTTAAGGGGTGGTGATCTTGGATTCAAGCCAGCAATGAAGCTAATAGAAGCTGCTGTTTGTTTTCACATTTAAAAAATAATCAAATAATTAGAAAAAGTATGTACATCTGTGGCACTTCAAACAGAGAAGATTTGATAAACTGACTAGACTTGGAGCAAATTAAGCCAAATTGACAAAACATATGTAAATGGTCCATCATATATAAAGATAATAAGTTCTACCAGTTATTTAGCACCTATATGCCAAACACTATACTACGAAATTTATAAACATCTCTTTCAATTTGATCCTTATTATAACTCTATGAGATAGCTTTTGTCCCAATTTACAGGTGAGGAAATCTGGGACTAAAAAACATTTGAGAAATTCACCCAAGATCACAGGTGGCTAACCCAGTCTTCAAATTCAACACTAATCTCTAAGATCATACTCTTAATCACTGCATTGTGATTGATTAGAGGATTAAATAGGAACTAGAATAGGAAAAAGGTGGGGGTCAATTCTTCTGAAATAGTAAGTATATGTGTATTTTGTTTACCAGGACTGCCATAACAAAATATTACAGACTGAGTGCCTTAAACAACAGAAACTAATTTTTCTCATAGTTGTGGAAGCTAGAAGTCTAAGATCAAAGTATCAGCAAATTTGGTTTCTTCTGGGGCCTCTCTCCTTGGCTTGCATATGACTTCCTTCTTACTGTATCCTCATCTGGCCTTTCCTCTGAATGTATGCATCCCTTGTGTCTCTGTGTCCAAATTTCCTCTCCTTATAAAGATACCTGTCAGATTAGATTAAGGCTCACTCTAATTGCCTCGTTTTTACTTAATCACCTCTTAAAGGCCTTATCTCAAAATATAATCACATTCTGAGGTAGAGGGGTAGTTACAGTTTTAACATATGAATTCTGAGGAGACAGTTCAGCCCATAACAAATGACAATTAAATTCAGTCTTTGAGGAGAGCCATCTACAATAAGCTAGAACTGTGTAAACAATGTTACATTTAGTTTCTCATTTATTCCTCACAACAATCATGCATGATAGCTATTGATAACTCCATTTTACAGGTGAAAAAAAACTGAAGCAAAGAAAGGTTAAGTAGTATGCCAAATATCATACATCTAGTAGATTACTAAATAAGAATTTGGATTCATGTAAATCATATCCCAAAGCTCTTTCCTCATGCTGTTAGCTTTCTTTGGAGAAACCAAAGAAATCTCATTATGTAGATATCTGATATTAGAAAAAGAAATTATTATGAAGTTAAATATTAGGCTAAAACAAAACAAAAAAGGTAAAATATCTGCTAAGGCGTTTGGATACTAGAACTAAAAAGAAATTTGGAGTTGAGAAGTGAATACTAGAAGCAGAGAGCTTTGGGGATGGTAAGCTGCTAGGAGGTTCTTATCTCACAAGAAATCTCAGTATACTTGGAAGTATATTAAGAGTCCCAGGGGAGTATCCCACTAGTGCAGAAGAAAATCAGTTATTCAATACCTAATTAGACATAGCAAGGCAGTACTAAATTGCTCAGAGAGTCTATAGTGTCAAAGAATATCAAAACAGCTGGAAGGAGAATTTGGTGGAGGAAGGGTGATGACTCAAGTGTTACTATAAGGCCAGGCTGGCAATTATTTATATTAGCAAATGTGAACATTTCCAATCTGCTTTCTGTGAGTTACCAGGTCTTGGACTGAGCAACCTAATTTATCACTCATCTCTGACTCCTCAATCATGTTATAGCACCATCCTTTATATTTGCCAGTCTAGGAGTGAGAATTTTATTAAGAGAACACAGTTGAAAAATGGATTCTACCTGTATCCTTTCTGGCAAAATTTTCAAAAGGATTAGGAATTACCTTTCCTCCTAAATCTTCATCTGACTTTTCTCTGACACTATTATACATCCTTCAGGAGGAGTACTGGTTGATACTTGTCAGCTTTCTGTCACATGGCAGGAAATAGC